TGTTGTCTACCAACCTACTACCACAGGATGGTAGTTCCTCCCTGGGTGGTTGTTGTCTACCAACCTACTACCACAGAATGGTAGTACCTCCCTGGGTGGTTGTTGTCTACCAACCTACTACCACAGGATGGTAGTACCTCCCTGGGTTGTTGTTGTCTACCAACCACTCCACGGGAGGGTATCCCCCCTGGTTGGTTGTCTCCCCAACCTACAACCCACGGGAGGGTTATTTCCCTCCCGGGTGGTTGTTGTCTAACAACCACTACCACAGGATGGTAGAACCTCCCGGGTGGTTGTTTTCCCAAAACACTCCCACAGGATGATATACTTCCCTGGAGGGTTGTTACCACCCTACAAAAACGGGAGGGAGAAACCCTCCCTGGGTGGTTGCTTTTTCAAACCTACTACCAAGGATGGGAAAATACCTCCCTGGGTGGTTGTTGTCTCCCAACCTACTACCAAGGATGGAGTACCTCCCTGGTGGTTTTGTCTCCCAACCTACACCAAGGGGATGGTGTACCCCCCCGGGGTGGTTTTTGTCTCCCAACCACTACACAGAATGGTAGTACCTCCCTGGGTGGTTGTTGTCTACCAACCTACACCACAGGATGGTAGTACCTCCCTGGGTGGTTGTTGTCTACCAACCTACTGCCACAGGATGGTAGTACCTCCCTGGGTGGTTTTTGTCTACCAACCTACTACCACAGGATGGTAGTACCACCCTGGGTGGTTGTTGTCTACCAACTTACTGCCACAGGATGGTAGTACCTCCCTGGGAGGTTGTTGTCTACCAACCTACCACAGGATGGTAGTACCTCCCTGGGTGGTTGTTGTCTACCAGCCTACTAGCACAGGATGGTAGTACCACCCTGTTTGGTTGTTGTCTACCAACCTACGACAGGATGGTAGTACCTCCCTTGGTGGTTGTCTACCAACCTTCTACCACAGGATGTTAGTACCTCCCTGGGTGGTTGTTGTCTACCAACATACTACCACAGGATGGTAATATCTCCCTGGGTGGTTGTCTACCAACCTACTACCACAGGATGGTAGTACCTCCCAAAGTGGTTGCTGTCTACCAACCTACTACCACAGGATGGTAGTACCTCCCTGGGTGGTTGTTGTCTACCAACCTACTACCACAGGACGGTAGTACCTCCCTGGGTGGTTGTCTACGAACCTACTACCACAGGATGGTAGTACCTCCCTGGGTGGTTGTTGTCTACCAACCTAATACCACAGGATGGTAGTACCTCCCTGGGTGGTTGTCTACCAACCTACTACCACAGGATGGTAGTCCCTCCCTGGGTGGTTGTTGTCTACCAGCCTACTACCACAGGATGGTAGTACCTCCCTGGGTGGTTGTCTACCAACCTACTACCACAGGATGGTAGTACCTCCCTGGGTGATACTACCACAGGATGGTAGTACCTCCCGGGGTGATACTACCACAGGATGGTAGTACCTCCCTGGGTGGTTGTTGTCTACCAACCTGCTACCACAGTATGGTAGTATCTCCCTGGGTGGTTGTCTACCAACCTACTACCACATTATGGTAGTATCTCCCTGGGTGGTTGTTGTCTACCAACTTACTACCACAGTATGGTAGTATCTCCCTGGGTGGTTGTCTACCAACCTACTACCACAGGATGGTAGTACCTCCCTGGGTGGTTGTTGTCTACCAACCTACTACCACAGTATGGTAGTATCTCCCTGGGTGGTTTTTGTCTACCAACCTTCTACCACAGGATGGTAGTACCTCCCTGGGTGGTTGACTACCAACCTACTAGCACAGGATGGTAGTACCTCCCTGAGTGGTTGTTGTCTACCAGCCTACTACCACAGGATTGTAGTACCTCCCTGGGTGGTTGTCTACCAACCTACTACCACAGGCTGGTAGTACTTCCCTGGGTGGTTGTTGGCTACCAACCTACTACCACAGGATGGTAGTACTTCCCTGGGTGGTTGTTGTCTACCAACCTACTACCACAGGATGGTAGTACCTTCCTGGGTGGTTGTTGTCTACCAACCTACTACCACAGGATGGTAGTACCTCCCTGGGTGGTTGTCTACCAACCTACTACCACAGGATGGTAGTATCTCCCTGGGTGGTTGCTGTCTACCAACCTACTACCACAGGATGGTAGTACCTCCCTGGGTGGTTGTCTACCAGTCTACTACCACAGGATGGTAGTATCTCCCTGGGTGGTTGTTGTCTACCAACCTGCTACCACAGGATGGTAGTACCTCCCTGGGTGGTTGTCTACCAGCATACTACCACAGGATGGTAGTACCTTCCTGGGTGGTTGTTGTCTACCAACCTACTACCACAGGATGGTAGTACCTCTCTGGGTGGTTGTCTACCAACCTACTACCACAGGATGGTAGTACCTCCCTGGGTGGTTTTTGTCTACCAACCTACTACCACAGGATGGTAGTATCTCCCTGGGTGGTTGCTGTCTACCAACCTATTACTACAGGATGGTAGTACCTCCCTGGGTGGTTGATGTCTACCAACCTACTACCACAGGATGGTAGTACCTTCCTGGGTGGTTGTTGTCTACCAACTACACCACAGGATGGTGGTACCTCCCGGGGTGGTTGTCTACCAACCTACTACCACAGGATGGTAGTATCTCCCGGGGTGGTTGTTGTTCCCCAACCTACTACCACGGGGATGGTATATCTCCCTGGGTGGTTGTTGTCTACCAACCTACTACCACAGGATGGTAGTATCTCCCTGGGTGGTTGTTGTGTACCAACCTACTACCACAGGATGGTAGTACCCCCCTGGGTGGTTGCCCTCCCAAAACCTACTACCACAGGATGGTAGTACCTCCCGGGGTGGTTGTCTACCAACCTACTACCACAGGATGGTAGTACCTCCCTGGGTGGTTGTCTACCAGCCTACTACCACAGGATGGTAGTACCTCCCTGGGTGGTTGTCTACCAGCCTACTACCACAGGATGGTAGTATCTCCCTGGGTGGTTGTTGTCTACCAACCTACTACCACAGGATGGTAGTACCTCCCTGGGTGGTTGTCTACCAACCTACTACCACAGGATGGTAGTACCTCCCTGGGTGGTGTCTCCCAAAACCTACTACCCAGGATGTAGTACCTCCCTGGGGGGTTTGTCTACCACCCTACTACCACAGGATGGTGTGTACCTCCCTGGGTGGTTGTTTTTCAAACCAGCCTCTAGCACGGGATGGTAGTATCTCCCTGGGTGGTTGTTGTCTACCAACCTACTACCACAGGATGGTAGTACCTCCCTGGGCGGTTGTTGTCTACCAACCTACTACCACAGGATGGTAGTACCACCCTCGGTGGTTGTCTACCAGCCTACTACCACAGGATGGTAGTACCTCCCTGGGTGGTTGTCTACCAACCTACTACCACAGGATGGTAGTACCTCCCTGGGTGGTTGTTGTCTACCAACCTACTACCACAGGATGGTAATACCACCCTGGGTGGTTGTCTACCAACCTACTACCACAGGATGGTAGTACCACCCTGGGTGGTTTGTCTACCAACCTACTACCACAGGATGGTAGTACCACCCTGGGTGGTTGTCTACCAACCTACTACCACAGGATGGTAGTACCACCCTGGGTGGTTGTCTACCAACCTACTACCACAGGATGGTAGTACCACCCTGGGTGGTTGTCTACCAACCTACTACCACAGGATGGTAGTACCACCTTGGGTGGTTTGTCTACCAACCTACACCACAGGAGGGTTTATTACCACCCTGGGTGGTTGTCTACCAACCTACTACCACAGGATGGTAGTACCACCCTGGGTTGTTGTCTACCAACCTACTACCACAGGATGGTAGTACCACCCTGGGTGGTTGTCTACCAACCTACTACCACAGGATGGTAGTACCACCCTGGGTGGTTTTTCTAACCAACCTACTACCACAGGATGGTAGTACCTCCCTGGGTGGTTGTCTACCAACCTACTACCACAGGATGGTAGTACCTCCCTGGGTGGTTGTCTACCAACCTACTACCACAGGATGGTAGTACCACCCTGGGTGGTTGTCTACCAACCTACTACCACAGGATGGTAGTACCTCCCTGGGTGGTTGTCTCCCAAACCCCCCCTACCCACAAAGGATGGTAGTTACCACCCTGGGTGGTTGTCTACCAACCTACTACCACAGGATGGTAGTACCTCCCTGGGTGGTTGTCTACCAACCTACTACCAGTCATACTAATATATTCTAACCAAATATGATAGCTGTGCTTAGAAAATGTGTTAGTATGCTCTGAACCATAAACATGTTAAAACCCAGCAGCAACAACCTGGTTGACGAGGCTAGCACCAGACGAGCCTGGACCCTGGCCGGGCTCAGGGAGTAAACAGACTCTGGAAGCATATCAAAGGTATATTACCTATAATCATAATTCAACCTTAATAATTGAATGCCAATTTGTATTGTAATTCCTAAATTTATCATACATGAACCTTAATAATCGTATATGTAAGTAAACAAAACTTGTCATCGTAGTCTTAAGTTACGTTCAAGTTTGCCAGAAATATTCTACATGATTGAACTTTGTATATTATATGTGGAATTATTATTATAATTATTATTATTATTATTATTATTATTATTATTATTATTATTATTATTATTATTATTATTATTATTATATATTAATATTATATTATTATTATTATTATTATTATTATTATTATTATTATGTGGTTGTTATTTGTGTATTGCTCCAGTCAGGTTATTGTGACTATTCTTGAGTTATGAACGGATCTCTGAGGATGATAGATGGTGATATATAGTGACAGTGTTAGTGACAGTAGATAGTGATTATAGATGGCAATGATATGTAGTGATAATGGTGATAATAGTGACGATAGATGGTGATAGTAATGATGATAGTGACAATAGATAGTAATGATATATAATGATAAGTGATGTTAGTGATGATATATAGTGATAGTGATAGATAATGATTGATATTTGTTTGGCAGACTCCGAAGATAGTGATGAGGACAGTGTGACTGCCGAGGGCAGTGTAGGCAGCAGTGGAGGTCACAGTGGCTCTCAGGGGACTCCAGAGGTGACCAGGACACCTTTGTTACTGCCACCTCCACAGGTACCAGCCCACGGTGGTGGTGGTGGTACTCCTGGTAGTGGTAGTAGTAGCCACCACACTCCACCACCTCACCCACTACCACCCAAACAACAGCAACCACTACCACCTATACCACCACACAGGTGTGTACCTACATTAAAAAGGTATGTATTACACCACACAGGTGTGTACCTACACCACACAGGTGTGTACCTACCCCACACAGGTGTGTACCTACCCCACACAGGTGTGTACCTACCCCACACAGGTGTGTACCTACCCCACACAGGTGTGTACCTACACCACACAGGTGTGTACCTACACCACACAGGTGTGTACCTACCCCACACAGGTGTGTACCTACCCCACACAGGTGTGTACCTACCCCACACAGGTGTGTACCTACCCCACACAGGTGTGTACCTACACCACACAGGTGTGTACCTACACCACACAGGTGTGTACCTACCCCACACAGGTGTGTACCTACCCCACACAGGTGTGTACCTAGAGTAATGTAAGGCAGAACTTAGTGAATCCTTGGTTAGTCTTTTCAACATCTCTACAAACTGATATACTACCAGATAAGTGGAAAATATAATACCAATCTACAAAGCAGGTGACAGGTCCTTATCTTCAAACTACAGACCAATAAGCCTAACCTCCATAGTGTTAAAATTCATGGAATCAGTAATTGCCGAGGCAATTCGTAGCCACCTTGAAAGACATAAATTGATTAATGAATCTCACCGTGGTTTTACAAAGGGGCGTTCTTGTCTTGCGAACTTATTTTTTTTAAGGTATTTGAGGAGGTAGATCATGGTAATTAATATGATATTGTGTATGTGGACTTCAGAGGCTATTGAGAAAAGTTGAAGCATATGGAATAGGAAAAATAATTTCATGGATAGAGGTGTGGCTGACATGCAATAGAATGGGAAGAGTCACAAGCGGTGTTCCACAGGGGTCAGTTTTGGGCCCTTTGTTGTTTGCAATTTACATAAACAATATAGATGACGGTATAAACAGCGATAGAAGCAAAGTTTGCCGATGACACCAAAATAGACTGTCGAATTCATTCTGACGAGGACATTAGAGCACTCCAGGTAGATCTGAATAGACTAGTGCAGTGGTCAGTGAAGTGGCAGATGCAGTTAAACATAGACAAAGGCAAAGTTCTAAGTGTTGGAAAGATAAATAACTATGATACTTATAAACTAAATCATGTAAATCTTAATATCTGTTTGTAAAAAAGATTTGGGAGTTCTGGTTAGCATTAATCTAAAACCCAGACAACAGTGCATAAATATTCAACTTATACTACATATCAAGAAGCATAAATAATCTTCAGTCCTCAGGTTGTTCTTCAACTCTATATATCCTTGGTTAGGCCTCATTTAGACTGCTGCACAGTTCTGGTCACCGTATTACAGAATGGACATAAATACTCTGGAAAACGTACAGAGGAGGATGACAAAGATGATCCCATGTATCAGAAATCTTCCCTATGAGGATAGACTGAGGCCCTGAATCTGCACTCTCTAGAAAGACGTACAATTAGGGGGGATATGATTGAGGTGTATAAATGGAAAACAGGAATAAATAAAGGGGATGTAAATAGTGTGCTGAAAATTTCCAGCCAAGACAGGACTCGCAGCAATGGTTTCAAGTTGGAAAAATTCAGATTCAGGAAGGATATAGGAAAGCACTGGTTTGGTAATAGAGTCGTGGATGAGTGGAACAAACTCCCGAGTACAGTTATAGAAGCTAAAACGTTGTGTAGTTTTAAAAATAGGTTAGATAAATACATGAATGGGTGTGAGTTGGACCTGCCTCGCATGGTCCAGTAGGCCTCCTACAATGCTTATGTACAGAGGTGTGTACCTATACCAGACAAGTGTATAACTACACCAGGCAGGTGTTTGCCTACACCACACAGGTGTGTACCTACACTATACAAGCGTGTACCTCACTACACAGGTGTGTACCTACACTACACAGGTGTGTACATACACCACACAGGTGTGTATGTACACCACACAGGTATGTGCCTGCTCTAAACAGGTGTGTACCTACACTACACAGGTGTGTACCTACACTACACAGGTGTGTACCTACACTACACAAGTATCTACACTACACAGGTGTGTACCTACACTACACAGGTATGCACCTAAACTAAACAGGTGTGTACCTACATTACACAAGTGTGTACTTACACTACACAAGTGTGTACCTACACTATGCATGTATGCACCTACACTACACAGGTGTGTACCTACACTACACAGGTGTGTACCTACACTACACAGGTGTGTACCTACACTACACAGGTGTGTACCTACACTACACAGGTGTGTACCTACACTACACAAGTGTGTACCTACACTACACAAGTGTGTACCTACACTACACAGGTGTGTACCTACACTACACAGGTGTGTACCTACACTACACAGGTGTGTACCTACACTACACATGTGTGTACCTACACTACACAGGTGTGTACCTACACTACACAGGTGTGTACCTACACTACACAGGTGTGTACCTACACTACACAGGTGTGTACCTACACTACACAGGTGTGTACCTACACTACA